ACATTAAGAAAACAGTGTAGCTGCAGTAGCATGAGTGATGGGAGGGGCTAGCTGTCCTGAGTAGGTATCCATCCCAGACCATAGGCAAGTACTTGGGCCCCTAACTCCTCTTCCCGCTCGCACTACACCATCTATACTATTTTTAACAAGCTAGGTAGATCAGAACTAGCACAGGTATGTCTCCTCAAGCTGGAAATCACATCCCCAGCTCAAAGTGTAGACATACCCAAACAGTAGCTACATTAAACATTAAGGCTACTTCCCCCATCCAAACCCTTGAACACCAGTTAGTAATAAAAATCTCAGCTAGCAACAGAGAATTTAAAAATTATGCATTTCCTATTCTTCCTTTTCCAGGATAGGTTGTCCATTTGCTTACTATTTCACTAAACATGACTTTCCTACCACATCATTTCCAATGTCAAAAAGGAATTGTGCCCACAGACAAGTATCAGGTTAGATTAACTCCTAGTAAATTTAGGATAGATTGCTGTGAAACTACGGGGCTAGATCCCCATCTGGTATAAACCAGCAAATTATGACAATGGTAGTGAGCTGTGGATCTGGTCATAATCCAGTCTCCTGAGAGTCAGCTAATTCTCTTCAGTACCCTAATTCCCATAGGTCTACTGAATGGAAGCCAATCCAGTCTTGAATTATGTCTACCCTCATTAGTAACCACACTAAAGCATAAATGGAGAACTTGAGCCATTTTTAATTCAAATAATATATTAGTTTATCTTTTAAATGCTAAATACATGCTCAGTGAAATATTGCAGGGAAATTCTAAAGTATTTCTAATGTGAACAGTTTCCATTTTTAAAAGTATTAAAATGCAGCAAAATGCATCAGTTGAATGAATTACAAAAATGGCTAAGCATAATTCCTAATGTGTTTTTGATAGATCTGCAAGGTTTTATACCTGTCTACATTTTCATTTCAGTAAATACACTGAGAAGTGGCTTTTCTTTAAAGCTTGTGTAAAGATAGATTACTAGAAACAATGGCACAAAGTAATATATATAATATATATATATATATATATGATTTTTGTCCAATAAGTTTAACTCCCAATGACTTCAATGGATATTACACTGGTATAGCTAAAAATAGAGTTACACCAGTTGTAGAATTCTTAGATGGGAGGCAAAAAGTCTAAATAGAATGTCAAAATTTTATGTTGATTTCTTTTGACTTTTATCATAGTGTCCCTTAAATGCAAGCTGTCCTCCCTTATATCCTTACGTACAAAAACAACCCCTAGGTAGATAACATTTTTGTTGCCATAAGTTACACAGTATAATATGTGCAATTCTTTCCTGGCCCCCAACATCCACATAATTGTCAATGAAAAAATATTGTGCAGAAGATGGTTAAATATCCTTTTTTTTTCTTACAATATTACACTGGCCTTCTACATAAATTATTGCAGAAACCAGTGTTGCTGTAACGTGCTCCCTACCATTTTATATGCAGAATGTGTAGAGATTTAAATATCTTCATGCACGGCCAAATAATATATACACGTTAGTTACTGTGGGTTAGGTCTGCAAACGGACTTGGGCATTGCAACCCAGAAACACCTAACTCTCAGACACCCTACTGCCCAGTGAAATTCTCAGTTAAATGTCCAGGCATCCTATACAATACATGGGGAAGAGTTGGGTACCCAAGAAAGGCACCTGAGCAGGGATCCACCTAAGCTAACCCACAGGAAATGCTGTGGAGAGGGATAGAACTTAACCCTGCACTTCAAAGGCACTTCCTTCCACCTAAGATTCACAGCAATGTTACCTCTCGTGGAATTAGGTAACAAAGCCAGGTCAGTCATTTCTAACAACACTAAACCCAAAAACCCTGTCATAATTGGCCTGCCTACAAGCATAATAGGATTCTGAACTCACCCGGCCTTTGTCTTCCATCTCCAGGCAGCCAAAAGTACAAGTCTGGTTGTGGTAAACTAAGCCCTCCAACTGAATTGGTAGAAGTCCAACCCTTCCAGGGCTATCAAAGATCAAAAGGCAAACCAATCACAAATGAACCAACACAAGGTCATGGCAGGACACTTCCTTCAGACAGCTGCTGATAGGCCATAGCCCAGTTTGGCACTTGCAGGCAAGTCTCTAGTAATAGTCCCAAAATACTGTTTCAGACTCAAGCTCTCCATTGTCTTGGCAAGGGCTTCAAAATGCAGTTACCCAAGCAGCTCCTGCCTTCAGCCAGGCACTTTAGGGCTGAAGAGCAAAGGTCTGTTTCCCTTCCAGATCTCCCATTAGCTGAGCTTCTGTCTTTTATATCTTCTCTCCAAGCCTGACATGCCTTGCAGGTGTGGTGGGGCAGGTCTGCTTGAGGCCAGAGAAGTTCATTAACCCTCACCTTCTTAGTATAGGGTTTATGCACCCCATCACAGACCCCCTTCCCCCACTCCATTACAGCTGATAGCCCAGTAATTAGGGTACTCATCTGGGATGTAGGAGATCTGTTTTCAAATCCCTGTTCTGCCTGAATTGGAGAAGGAACTTAACCTCAGTTCTTGTATCTTCCAGGTGAGTGCTTTAACTTCTGGATTATAGAATAATTTTTATTCTCTTTCTGGCCCAATGAATATTTCATTAGTTATACAAAGTGGAACTACTTCAACAAGAGAGATTGAAAGAGGTCCATGCAGAATATCTGGGTGGTTAGTGCACTCACCTGGGCGACATGGGTCTAAGTCCCTGCTCCAAATCAAGCAGCGCAGTTGAATTCTGGGTCTCCCACATCCCAGGTGAGTGCTCTTACCACAGGGCTGATGGAGATAGTGGGACTTGCTCTCTCTATCCCCCAGCTGTCTTTGGTGTGGTAGGCATGCTAAGAGTATGGCAACCAGATCAGCTCGTGCAGGTGTAATAGGCAAGGGAACACCTAGTTTGTGAATCCCAGAAGGGATGAGACATGAGCTGGAATGCTGAGCAGCTCAGCGGCATCAGGATTTAGGTGCTATTGCACATGCCTACCGGCAGAAATTCTGGCACGTAGGGAACTTTACTGGTGGAAACTTAGGTCCCTAAGACCCGTCCAAGGATTTGTATCTCACACCTACATTTCTGCTTTCAAAAGCAAAGAGTAGATAAAGGGGTACCAGCCATCCTGGAAATGAAGATTGCCAATTATCAAAAGATATTGGCAAAATACAATTTACTCACTTATGAAAAGCAATTGTCCCTGCCTCTTTCCCGGTTATGAATGTCATCCTTAAACCAAATGGGAACCATTGATGTAGTCCCTCAGTAATTCAGGGGGAGGAGTAGAGTCCTGTAATCTTTGTCCCAAACCAAACACTTGTATACCCTCTCCCCTCCAGAGTGAAAACCTTTAATGATGATATCTTAAAAAAAATTATAACAGGCAATTAATTTTCTTTTAAATTAAACAAGAAAACCCAAAACAAAAGTTAAGCTCATATGACCATAAGTTTATTTAAAAAGGAATCTCAAACTTGCCAAAATTGCACTGTGAAGGTTTTGTTTATTTATCAGTTTATTGCTAAAATTTTTCACATATTCTAAACAATTTAATCATAGAATCATAGAATATTAGGTTGGAAGAGACCTCAGGAGGTCATCTAGTCCAATCCCCTGCTCAACACCAACTAAATCATCCCAGCCAAGGCTTTGTCAAGCCAGGCTGTAAAAACCTCTAAGGATGGAGATTCCACCACCTCTCTAGGTAACCCATTCCAGTGCTTCACCACCCTCCTAGTGAAATAGTGTTTCCTAATATTCAACCTAGACCTCCCCCACTGCAACTTGAGACCATTGCTTCTTGTTCTGTCATCTGCCACCACTGAGAACAGCCTAGCTCCATCCTCTTTGGAACCCCCCTTCAGGTAGTTGAAGGCTGCTATCAAATCCCCCCCCCCCCCACCTCTTCTCTTATCCAGACTAAATAACCCCAGTTCCCTCAGCCTGTCCTCATGCCCCAGACCCATAATCATTTTTGTTGCCCTTTGCTGGACTCTCTCCAATTTTTCCACATCCCTTCTGTAGTGGGGGGACCAAAACTGGACGCAATACTCCAGATGTGGCCTCACCAGTGCCAAATAGAGGGGAATAATCACTTCCCTCGATCTGCTGGCAATGCTCCTACTAATTCTTAACAATTATGTGACTCATGAAAATTAATTTTTATTACATTTAAGAGTGTTGTTTTGATTTCTAACATTTAGCACAAAGTTATTTTTGTTCTGTCTCACTTTGGTAAATGTGAGAAGAGAAGAACAGAAATGTCTAACTGATAGCATTACAGAGCATAAAACTGCCAAAGGTGCTATATGGCTGTAGCTGAGAAGTATGAAATGATTTTGCTATTGAATACATGACCCTAATAAAATCCAAATATAGTTCTACAGATTTTAAATACTGATAAAATGTATTGTATATATATAGTACCTTAGTTATAGGAAACAAACTATTCCTTCATAATATGCCACTTGTGACTGGATTTACCATTAGGCCATCTTCTGCAAATCCATCCTCTTGCTATAAGGTTTATTTTAAACAATTGTTGCCTGTGAAGTTTATTACTTGGACTCCCATTCTGTATGAAGCCCACAAAGGTACACAGCCTTTCACTGGTCTGTGACTTAAGGCTTTGATATTGTCCTTCCCATGGTGTCTTGATGCTACTCATTATATAGATGTGAGAGGCAAGCTGCATTTCCCGATGCTGAATATTTTTGTCCTATGTATTCATAGCAGGATTGAAATAAATGTAAATCTTCCAAAGTACATTTCTAGATGGTGATATGGACAACATTAAAAAAACTTTAACATAAGCAATTTCTATACTACTGGTCTGTCTTTTTTTCCTTCATAAATTGTAGTGTCAAGAATATTAGGAAACATCTATGAAGATTTGTATGAATATTAAAATGATTTCTGGTTTCAGGAGAAAACTGGAGTTGAATGTAAGTTTCAAAAAGTAATATTTTATCTTACACTACTTTGTTTCTCTTCTAGTGGCAAAGCATTACAATAACACTGGTTGAGAAAGTGCAGATGATTGCTGTAATCCTAGGATCTCTGTTCTTAGTAGCAAGTGTGACTTGGCTTCTATGGTCAGCCTTCAGCCCCTATGCAGTATGGCAAAGAAAGGACATCCTTTTTCAAATCTGCTATGGAATGTATGGTTTTATGGATCTAGTGTGCATAGGTAAGCTCAAAACATTAATCAGTACAGATTGTGGTTTAAGAGTATAACTATGGGTCAAACTTCCTTAGCTCTTCAATTCTCTACTTATTTATTCTTAGATGACATATTTAGCAAACACTTGACTTTTATAAAAGTAGAGACACTGTGAGAGAGAAACCAAACAAAAACGCAACCCGCAGACTGATCAAATCACTTTCCCTAAAAGTTAAATTCCCAGAATCACAATCAGTTTTGCTTACTTTGAAATTTAAAAGGATAGTAAAGTGTACGAGGGTCAATAGGTGAAATTATAACAAAGATTTGATGAAAAGGACTAATGATAGTTCTGTTCTCTCAAATCTTCCTTTGTTGCTAAGCAGAGTTAGTTATATATGTCAAGGATAGAATAGGTCCCTGAAAGATTTTCTCGTAGAACTACATACCTAACACTACACTGAACAGAGTTGTGTGAATCACTATGCTAGAAATAGAGTATAATGGATAGGCTGCACTGCTGCAGTGAGATGAAGGAACTAATTCAAGAGTTCTGTTGATATCCTAAACAGATAAAAAACACTATATAAGTGCTAAGTATTTTAATTTATTAATTATACTATGAAAGCAGACCTCAAGTGGTTTATGATGCCATCAGAACTTTTAAAGAGTGAAGATGCAACTTTCTGAAAGCTTTTGTGTGTGTGTGTGTGTGTGTACGTACTTCCTTTAATATATTGATCCCCAAATGTCTAAATAAAAACTTTTAAATAATTAGTAAAGCAACTATGAGCTGAATGTGAAAGAGGTTACACTAAAGTAAAAATAAAGGAATTTTAGTCACTCTTAGATAAGTAAGGCATAGTAATTTGAACTAAGGTTCCCAGAATATTTATGTCAATAACATGATGAAATGCTGTATAATGCTTTTAATTAAAAAAAAATCTCAAAATGCTTTGCAAATGTTGCTGTTAACTCAATTTTATATATGCCTCTTATTATACCATGTATACATTATCATACAGGTCAGTTGATAACATAGTTATTTGAAACTAATTGTGTTAATTGATTTTTTTCACTGGTTTAATTTGTTACAAAAAATCAAACTCTTATCAGTTCAAAATTTATTGCTTAGTATCTGTAGACAGATAAAAATACATTAGTGTATTTATAAAACTAAATGTATCAATGGAACAGGGTTTTGGCTGTACTAATGAGGAAATTCAATTCTAAGAAAGGATTGCTAAGAGTTATAAAGTAGTCACTGAATTGTCCAATGTAAATTTTAACATCTAGATTTAAAACAATATACATTAGTGTTACTTGGAAACTTGCCAGTGGCTTTAGATATCTAAATATATGCATATAACTACAGTCTTATAATTAATATTTATAGCATTAATTAGCATCTCTATCTACATTTTGTAACTATAGTTTCCTTACTTGAACATTAACTTTTAATTAATGGTAAGCTTAGTATGTAGGTTTTTTTTAACAATTATGTTACCTAATAACTTTAAATTACTAAACTTGTGTCTGGGAATTAAGAAATAACTGGTTAACTGGTTTGGTAATTGTGCAGCATTTTTGTACTTCTGATCAGCTCAGACCATTCAAATTCAATATACTTTCAAGTAATCTTCTGCAGCCTATTGTATTTTAAACATGTGCATCCAAGACCACTTATAAATTTTTAAAATATCTATTAGCATCTCCAACTTTACTCTGTGTTAGGGGTGTCTGTTATTGTAACTTCTATAGGATAAAGGACTTTAATCTGAGTAATTGTTTTAACTGAAAATATTTGAATTAAATTCCTTAGAATGCAAATATTTAGGTTTCTGAATGATCTAAAAAAGCCACAAGACAATCTGGTGACAGATATAACTTTCCAACAGCAGTTCAGTGGGCAATGATTTTATTACATTAGAAAGATTTTGTCTTACTCTTTAATTCTTACCAATTAGCTCTAAATTATGTAAACGGACTAACAAGTAGATGTATGCTATACTCTGTTCCTCACACACTATGACCTGTGCAGTGTTGATGCAGCCAACAGAAGTGTTATGAAGCACAAGTCTAAAAGTTAAGTGCCCCACCCCTTTATTTGTGATCATCCTGCAATAAATTCCCTGTGGATGGGTCCCTGCACCAATGAAAAGCCTCACTGATTTCAGTGGGGATTTGCATAGGCACAAGGGTGCGCTCATGGATAGTTAATTTTAGGGTCAGGTCCTGAGTTGTAAACTCCATGACCAAAGACCTATTCCAGTTGTCTAAAGTCACGTACATCTATGGCTCTGCATAAACAATAAAATATTTTCAGCCACCTGAGAAATGTAAATATCTGTACTGCTTGAAGTGTTATTGTTTTTATAATTTTGAAATGAAGTTTAATAATTGGCTAGTGAGAACTGCACAGTTATATTAAAAACCTGCACATTTAGAAACTTTAACAGATTATTTTTAGTATTTTTCCATTAAATCTTATTTCATTGCATCAATCCACACTCCTATCCAGTAAGTAATATAAAAATGTCTCATACATTTTAATCTGCCAGCCTTGTCATTCATTTGTACCAAGAGAAAACTGTCAAAGCTTACAGCTCACCAGTATGCCACCCAATAAATAACTTACGTGGATTCTCTGTTCAGTTCCATTTGCAGCCTATCCAGTTTTACAGGAAGTCCACTTTTGTAACATTTAACAAAGAATAAAGTTGCCTTATATTACAAGACTATTCTTATTCTCTAAGCACAGGACAGGTCTATCAACATCAATTTAACTTACACATTTTAACATGAAGGTGAAATTTGTGTCCGTTGTTCCCTTCATCCTCTTCTGATCTTCCCTGGAAATTCTGGGTCCCTCCTTACAGCATCCCCTTCTAGTCACATCAGTGTCAAATATGGCAATTCTCTATGCAATTCTGCATCTGAACTGGGCATGAAGTTTTTCTCACAGGAAAATTTCCAAAGCATGCAAGATTTGCAGAGAAGTCTTTCACATTTGAACTAAATGGAACTGTGACCAGTCAAAGTTGTATACATTGATATTGCCAGAGATTAGTGCGTCCCTGTTGGGATTATCAGAGAGAGAGAGAGAGAGTGTGTGCTCAAGGTGTTTACAATAAAGGAATTTAGGATTCAAAAACTTTAAGGATTCCTTAAGGAATAATACATTAGCTTCCCGCTCTTCCATTGCTTGAATCTGGCTGCTCTCCTTCATCACATTGCCTCCACATAGTCACACTATTGGAGAAGAATGTCTAAGACATGGTAATGGAACCTTTTTGAAATAGTAAGTTGTCAGTTAGTGTGTGTACAATTCCCCCACTCTAACATTCTATAGACCAATGGTATAAATAACCTCTCCCTCTAACTGTACTGCAGTATCTTTCTACTCACCAACTCTTTTCCTTCATGTTAAACAAATCTAGTTGTAAGTGGTTTTTGAAATAGTTGTATTGTTAAAGTTAGATTTATTTATATTTCATGTTAATTGTTTGATCAATTCACACATTTTTGTGGGCCCATCTAAACAATAGTTCTTCTTCGAGTGCTTGCTCATATCCATTCCATTAGGTGTGTGCGCGCCGCGTGCACGATCGTCGGAAGATTTTTACCCTAGCAACACCGGCGGGTCGGCTGTGGAGCCCCCTAGAGTGGCGCCTTCATGGCGCTGAATATATACCCCAGCCGACCCGGCGCCCCCTCAGTTCCTTCTTACCGCCCCTGACGGTCGTTGGAACTGTGGAGCGCTGCTTAGCTGTTCTCCACTCTCCCTAGCTTACTTCATTATTCGTAGTTATAGTTATAGTTTATAGTTAAATAGTTCAATAGTTTTAAGAGTTGTCTAGTTGTTATAATAGTTCAGGGGATTAAGGGGGTCGTCTCCCCCTTTTCTCCCCCGGCCGCGGGGCCGGGCTCATGCCCAACGCTCCCGGCTTAAGGCCGTGCTTCTTGGGTGAATATCGCTACCCTTCAGGCTTTCCTTAC